TGACTTATTACTCTTCAGAACATTCAGGGAATCAAACAGCTGGTCGAGAAATAAAATAAGATCCGCGGTATCTACTGCATCAGGTGAAAGGCTATTTTTGTCTTTCATATCTAAAAGGAAAAAGGTGAGCGTTATTAGTTTTGTATAATTTATTATTTGAAGTATTTTTGTTACCCCATTGTGCAATGCGCTTCATAAGTGAGCCCACACTGTGACTAAACACTTGTGTACAATTCTTCACTCTCATTTTATATTTTCGATGGAACAATATGGGCATCTGTTAATTTAGAGCAGATTCGTAGTGATGGAATTGACGCATCCAATTGATAAAACTGCTCTAAATGCTCCCACTTTGCAATTTTACTTTTTCCGTCGATTTGGAACATTAGCTGCTTGTTTAATAAATTATTTCTGATGCCTTTAAACAAATGAGGTACGTCAAACAGTGGAACAATTTCTTGTTTATTAATCAAAAATCCAGCACATTTATGTTGCAAATTGTTTCTTAAAAAATGTGCCTTAGTTTCATCGAGCAGAATTTGAATTGCTGTTTGATTTGTACTTCCTTGGTCACAAACCGTAGCTATAACAATTAGGCCTATGAATTGGCAGTGTTCAATAAGATTTCTAATCATTTTTTTCAAATTGATAGGCCTAACGGGTCCTTTGCTAAAAGTGAGTGCAATTGGCTGTTTCCATTGCCTATATATACCCCTAAGCATAAACACATTTGCGTGATCACTTAGAACAGCACGTTTTTCACCTCCATAATCTTCTAATCCAATAATTTTGTCGTTGTATCTCTTATACGCTAGGTTTGCTTGGATGGCCATTTCATCGAAAAGCAAGATGCACATTCTTTCTTGACGTGTTAAATTTTTGCAACGGCCTTTTCTAAGCTATCGAAAATTGCTTTGTTTATACCCGCGTGAAAAGGAATATTTTGTAACAGCACTCGAAGCGTTCTTGTAGAGGGCAATGCAAATATTTTGCTAATCAATTTGTAGCCCTTTGGACTATTTTTAAAAAGAGACAATGCCAAAATTTTCTCCTCAATTTTGTAACGCTTAGCCTGTCCCTTCAACATCTGGTTTCTAATTTGGCATTGAATAAAATTGTACGTAGGTCTATTAACGTTCCGCAAAAGATATTGGAAATTCTGAGTGCCATCAATTTTATTTGCTATAGCTAAACGATCCTGGAAAGATCTTAATTTATTTTTCATTGTGGAAACGGATACGTTTAATTTTGTCACAATTTTGTATAACTTCTTGGCCTTTGGTGTTAATTGATTACACCGACTTACATTTACTTGCCGCAAAACAGACCTTGTTTTTGGAAGACCTGCAAAAAATGTATATAAGCCTAATAATAATCATAAAATTATGTAGGTACAAAGCATCGCCAAAAATTTCAATACGAAAAGTACCTTTCTTGGTTTTGAGTGTAGTATTTATAGCATTTGTGGATTTTGGTGACACTTGCAGTTTCGCTTTTGAATTTTCTGAAATAGTAAATTCGAATTCTGGTATTACTGAGTCGAACGTAACAGGCTGAGATGATGGTCCTGGTTGAGGGGTAAGCGTCCTTCCGTCAAGAATATCTCTATCGGGGATGGAAGAACATACTCAAAAATACACTGTCGGAACGTTGGGTTATACAGGGTGTCCACCGTGGACCATCGCGACATAATTGGCAAACTTTAATTAGGAGAAATTTTAAAATCGGACAGTACCCAGATAGCACACAAATATTACAGTAATATTTTTTTGCAATATTTAATATAGGTTGAAGCGACAGATTCTTGAATATTATAACAATATTTCTT